GGCCACCACCCCCCCTTCCCCTCCGCCTCCCTCTGTCCCCAGGAGGACTATGTCTTCTCCCAGCCAACCTCCACCTCACGTCCAAACAGAAAGGGAAAAACCCCAGCCTCCTGTGACAGTCAGAACCAGACGATTTCAAGGTCTTTCTGCTCCCGTCAGGGCTGGGGGGCCCATGGCAGAAGGCAGCCTCAGACAACACGTCAGGCAGGCGGCATTTGGTGTCTTGGTTGGACCGGCAGCTCCAAGGGCAGTAAATGGGCTAGTGGCTCAGCTAAGTGCCAACTTTTGAGCAAACTCATTGGGTAGGACAAAGCCAGGTATCCCTGGGCTGGAGCTGTGGGCAGCGGGCTGTCGACATTTCTGCCCTGCAGACATGGCCCAGGGCATGAGCCGCTGGCTGAGCCCAAGCCACCCCCGCCTTCCAGCGGAGCTGAGATCCAGCGACCAACAGCTCCGCCATCCGTCCCCCAAGTGATCTGGCACCCACAGAGCTGAAGGGTTTCAGGGGGACTCGGGCAATAGCTGTAGGACAGGCAGTGGGGAAGGGAGCCAGGGAGCAGCTGGTCCAGCACAGACCCACCCACCCCTCCACCAGGTGGCCAAGGCCACCAAACCAGTGGTGCAAAGATGCTGTGGGGCACACATGCAGTGCAGCCCTCCAGCTCGGCTGGGTTGCTGGTCCCAAATTAATCCACAGGGGATGCTGCCCTCTTTTGGGCTCAGCGTAACTGGCAGAAGTTCAGGGAAATATGTAGCAGCCCAAGAGCAGTGCTTTTTTGGGGCTCAAAACCCCACAGAGGGGTTCTCAAATGTGGTGACTTCCCATACCTGTCTCAGTGGACATCCCATGGCCTTCTCCTGCTGAGAGCCAGGCTGCTGCACCTGCGGGCGGCCTCTGAGCGCAGCCAGGGAAGGGAAGAGCAGGACCAAGCTTGGGAGCGGTGCCTGAAGGACAGGGAGATGCTTGCTGGGGTAAAGAGTGAGAATATGAAGGCCAGGCGCTGGGAAGGTGTCTCAGGCCTGGGGAGGACCACGGGGTCCTTACCAACTCTGAGAGCTGCTAGCATTTCATCTTCATTAATGATTTTTCATAAATTAATTCAGTTGATAATAAAATAAGTTCACAGTCAAAGTGAGCTGTAACAGGGTCCTGTGCTGACCCAGCAGGGAGGCATAGGGTCCAAGCGCTGCCAAGCCCCAGGGTGACGCTGAGATGTCCCAGTGCCACCTGCAGCCTGGGAACGGCTGGCTACCCCCCACATGGGGAGAGTGGCGGCCAGCACTTCGGTGGTCCCTGCAGGCCCCCACACCCCTGGAAGGTGCTCAGCACTCTGGGCTGGGTGCTGGCCAGCCCTGCCTGTAGCGGGCTCCTCCCCGCCTGCACTTCCTCCTGCCGCTGGCACCTCCCCACAGCACTGGGCACAGCCAGGACCGTGGCCCGCACCAGCTCCGCGGACTGCCCACCCTACAGGGGCCCTGGGACCACTGCCCCACCACAGGGTACCTGCGCCGAGCAGACCTGGGGTACCCGCACTGCCTCTAGTACCAGGCAGCAGCAGTGAGCCCCTGCTCCCCTGGACCTCTCCGCCTCTGGCAAGCAGGAGCAGGGTTTGGGGACCCACACTGGAGCCTGCTTCACCCACCTCCTCGGCATGCGGACACCGACAGCGATGATCGTGGGGCTGGTGCTGTGCCCCTGCGGGCTCCTGCTGACGCTCACGGGCACGCTGGCGCCCAGCTGGAGGCAGGTGAGCCTCATACCCAACCAGCCCATTGACCTCGTCCTGGAGCAGGGCATCTGGGACATATGCAGAGAGCAGCAGAGCAGCCACGACCGCCACTGCGGGCAGGCTGATGAGCTGGGCTACTTTGAGCAGGTACCCGTGCGGGTAGCCCAAGGGCTGATGCCCACCTCGCTGGTGCTCACCCTCCTGGGCTTGCTGCTGGCCGCTCTGGGGGTACGCTGCTGGCAGAAGGAGCCACGGCACCTGCTGGCTGGTGTGGCAGGGCTTGTGCTGCTCCTCTCAGGGCTGTTGAGCCTGGTGCCTGCCTCCTGGTATACCCATGAGCTGTGGGCGCTGCCTGCATCGGCTGGCAGCATGCTGGTTGTAGGCTACAGCTTGGTGCTGAGCTACTTGGGAAGCTGCCTGGAGATCTTGGGGGGGCTGGCCCTCACCCTCAGCTTCCACCACTGTTGCAAGGAACACAGGGCTCCCAAACTGCCCCCCAGCCCTGTGCTGGAGGCTGGGCCATGCTCCACCACTGGAGCTTACTGCAATTCCTGGGACGTGCTGGAGGATGAGCGAGATGGACGGCACTGGAGGAGCACCCTGCCTTGTGACTCTGACTTGTAGACCCAGCACAAGGACAGCAGTGGGCTCTGGCCCGCTTGCCTGGCGCCGAGAGCAGTGCTGACTCCTGCCCCTCCAAGCCATGTCCTTTTCTTGGGGCACCTCAGGGCAGGTTGGAAACAAGACCGAGGACCTGTCTTGAATCTCTGCAACCTCTTCAGAAGCCTGCTGTGCACCAGGTCTCACAACTGTGCCAAAGTTGTGCTGGATTGAGGACCAGCCCTGGCTCCAGTCCCTCCGCACAGCTTTTAGCTTGTACCCCTGCACTGTGCAGCAGCTTGGGCAAAGGCAGCTCCAGTGTCCCCTCAAGAACAAGGTACAGGCTAGCATCTTGTGGGCTTCAGGGCTGGGAATAGGGAAGGGGAGCACCTCCCACATGGCTCTGCTTAACTCAGGGCTGTGCAAACAGCAAAATAAATGAAGAGGAACAGGTCTGTGCTGTGGGATTGTTATGGGCTTTCTGCCAGGCAGGCTGGGCAGAGAGCCAGTGGGCACAGTTAACCCAGCTCCCCTGTGCTTTGCTTGAAACAGGGAAGAAAGGTCTGTAATAGGGGACGGGTGGCTTTTATAGCACCTTCCTTGAGGACTTTCCCCCCATGGTCAAAATCAGCTCTGGAAGAGGCTTCTCCTTCCTTGAGCACAGCTACTTCAGGGGAAGAGAGAGATGACAGTGGGAAAAAATAGCGTATATTTCCTATTTCATCATTAGCTTGGTGCAAGGTGGTAAAACTGGTCTCACTGCTTTGTAAGGGACACTCAGAAGGTCAGAGCTGCCCTACAAAACCCTGCTCGGCCCCCTGCATAACAGGTCAAGAGCCCAGCCAGCTTCCCTGCAGAGCTGTTGGGCCAGATTTTACCCCAGGCGGGCCCAAGCCTTGCTGCAGAGGGCCAGGGGATTGAGAAGCCCTAAGGTTAAGGGATGGTACAGGGTGCACCCTGCAGCAGAGGATCAGATTCAGGTGGCTTGGAGAGTGTGTTTGGGCTGCAGAGTTCCCAAAAAAACTGCCCAAAGCTCTTTGCTCTGGACTGTAAGTTCCCTGGAGCTTAGAAATCTAGAAAGAGCAAACCAAGCTCCCCTCCCTGGCCCACGCACAAACCACCATGGCACCAGAGATGCTGCACAATGTTCCTTTATGAAAATACAGTGTCGGGGCAAGATGGTCCCTTCCTCAGCGGGGCTGGCAGCTCCTGCAGAGATCACAGATGGGTGCATCAGGGATGAGTCTGAACCAGCCTCCCTGGGCCCACCCCACACCTTGGCACAGAGGCTCCAGCCACAGAAGGGAGTGGGACAGCCCCTGTACCAGCCAGACTCCAGGCACCCCCAAGGTCTTGACCCTCTCCCCCAGCAGGAAGGCAGAGCTTGCCTCAAGAGTGGGCGCCATGCTGGCACTGGGTCTGGGGAGGCATCTGCACATTGTGGTGGTGGTGGGGAGGAGGCTTGGGGCACTCCAGGGTGGCAAGGGTATCCCTACTAGGGCCTGCTCCAGGCGCTGCTCACCTCTTTCCCATCATAAGCTTCATTCACAAAGGTGTCACTCTTGGGGGGAAGCTCTTCCTCCTCCTCATCTTCTTCCTCGGGGTCACTTTCACGGTGGTACAAGGTCAGCACCCGGGTGGAGGCAGTGCTTGAGGTCCTGCTTGAGGAAAAGTGTACACTGAGAATGGCATGGCCACCTCCTAGAGATGGGACAGATCCTAAGATCCTGGCACAGCCCCCAGTAATAGCCTGCTGGAGTGATTGAAGCTTTCCATATAGCCCAGGAGTGCCCCAAGACACCACACTGTCCCTGGGCACGGAGACCCTGTCTCTCTCCATCCCCAGTTGTACCTGGCCCAGCCCTGCCCCAGAGCTCACCTCCTCCGCCTGTCCCGCCTCCGCATGTAGGCCAGGGCCCCCACAGCAGCGGCAGCAAGCAGGAGGAGCACGGCTACCCCCAGGGCAATAGGTCCTGCAACTGGCTGCACCTCTGCCTCCTCACAGTAGTCACCCCGATAGCCCAGGGCGCAGTGGCACGTCACCCGCCCAGCCTCGATGGCACAGTCCCCACGCAGGTTACATGTCTCGCTGCTGCATGGCACAGCCCCCAGCACCTCCTCCGTGCTGGGGGGTCCCACGAGGGGCTTTTTTTGGCGGTGGGCCAGCGCGTGCAGATAGGCTGGGGACAGGCTGCCGAGGCTTAGGTGCAGCTGTGGGTAAGGCTGGTTTCTCTTCTTCCACATGGGACATCCCTGATGGTGCCACGGCAGGGACCTGTGTCCCCACCTCCACGGAGGGACCTGGAGGGATGGACATAGATGCCAGTGAGACCCCCCCCACACCCCTTCCCAAACTGGAGGAGAGTGGGCAGGCCCCCCCTGTGCCCAGCCAGGACACCTGCACACCCGGACTGTGGACAGGCACTCACAGGCAGACTCATCGGAGCCATCGATGCAGTCTGGGTGCCCATCGCAGACCTGCTCTCTGGAGATGCAGCTCTGGAAGTCACGGCAGGCCTGGAGCGGGGCTGGGCAGGGCTGTGCCAGCGTGCATGACACCCCACGCACCAGGTGGTAGCCAGGGGAGCAGCGGCATAGCCGCCCTGCAGGGTTAGGCAGGCAGAGCTGGGCACAGCCTCCATTGTTCTTTGCGCAGCCGTTGGTGCCTGCCAAAATAGCACAAGTTAGCAGGGCCACCACAGGGCTCAACCCCCCCAGATGCCCCAGGTAGGGCAGCCCCAAGACCCA